TACAATAAATTCCCGCTAGCTCCTAGGCTTCACTAACCCATTTATGTTCCATCACTCAGCCGTAATCCTCGTCACACAGACTTCGCCAGCCATTGCACGTTACCCCTCTATAGGATTACGTCCATCGCTCTATCACTTAGTACTTTGAGAAGACTGTCACGTTCAGAGACAGTAATGGATTTAGTTTTAGGGTGTAGCCTCGTCAGGGATGTGATAGATATGCAGACTTTTTCCTGGTACACCTTTGTTGGTGTATTTCTTGTTAGTCGACTCTAAAAAGATGGAATTAAATGAGGATTTATTTATTTTGTCGTTCTAGAAACATAATATATGAAAAAAGAAAGCTTAATATGTAGTAACCATTATGTATTCTGATTAGGACAATATTTCTCTCGATTAAACATAAATATGATTTTGAAGCTCTTAATTTAATTTTAAAGACTTTTAGGTATAACGATCACAATCCACATTTCCAATTCCAAACTGGTTCGTAATTAAACAAATCGATACTAATATCCATAAATCGTATCTCGATGTCGCATGTGAAACGTAATCGATTACAAATGTTGCACGCAAATACGTTTTTTTCCCGATTAGTGAAAATCGCGTGCCGTACTCATTTCCTTACTGAGAGTAGAAAAGTGTGATATGTTTGTAGCTGATTATATACTGCACAAACATATGAATATATTCATAAATATCTATATCTATAGGTACTATTATAAAGACGTAAAATTTGTAAGTTGTATGTTCATAATCTTTGGAACCAATGGTCGGATTGCCAAAATTCTTTCACCGATAGATAGCTACAATGTTACTGAGTGCTAAAGGCTATTAAACATCACGCTGCGATTAAATGGAGCCGAGCAGCGGGTGAAAACGCGAGAGTAGTTTAAGAAAGTTATTTAGATAAATATTGAGTCAGCCAATACTTACGCTTGCTCACAGCAGACAACCATACAAATATATATCTATACAAGAATTAGTAATTCAAAGTTATAAGATTAGATAAATTAAAAACATATTCTCAGGAAAGTTATAACACGATATAAATAAGGATTTCATTTTGTGATTTTTCCTCATTGTTACTTGTTTATTTAGGTCAAGGGAGGTAGGTTAACACGTGTATATTCAAATGAATGTTAATTTTATCCTGTTCATGCGTGGCTAGATTATATCGTAAGGTCACGAAGCCTTTCTCCACGCAGATGTTGATATCTATAGGTAAACGGAAAATGAATATTTAAGATCGGATCTAATGGTAGCTTGAGAAATGAGCTGAACATTTAAAAATTACCTTCGGCATGAATGTAGAAAAAAAAATTGCTTCATCTAGTTTTTCACATATAAACTGACGTGTAAAAGTGCCGTTTTATGGCCTATTTGCAAAAATACATTCATTGTTTCATTGTTTCAATGGCTCGGCTACACTAAAGTGATACCACGGCCTGACAGAGTACCAGCGTTATACAACTCATGCGTTGTTTTTTGCCGTGTGAGTGGGGTTAACAGAGGCCCAATCTCAAGCTGGTATACAGCTTTTTTACTTTAATTTTAGATCAAACTCGTCCTGAGCCCTGGCCTGCCGATTTAATATGACGACGTGACAGCCAAAGCTATACAAGAGGAAATACTTGTGTTTAGAAACCTAACGGGCTTAGTTAAACAACGAAAAATGCTGAATTACATGAACAGTATTAAGTAACATAATTAAACCATCAAATACACATATTAAGTAAGCCAAGACCAGTACCTATGTACGCTGCTATAAACCTACCTTCATCTTAAAAGTAACCCCTACAAGTGTCATTTTGATACGTTCCTACATAGCATGAAAACCCACATCAATATCATCATTGACAATCTCGTTTTCTCTAAAGAAATAATCATGTTCATCATTAATGATAATGAAGCATCAATCAGTCACATTTCCTGGAACCAATGTTTTTCCCCTCGGCTGGCAGACGGCGTGAAGATATGCGCACACGCACGAACTTGACCCACTTAGTAGAAGTTATGAATTATTTACCGTATATGTTATTGGCACGCAACGTTTTGTTCGGGCTTTTAAATTCAGTCATTACACTTGGGTGGGGTGGCTGTGAGAGCGATTAGCGTTTTATGTCAAGCGGATGAAAATTAGGAAAGATAGTAAAAAAAATATTGGTAAGTATAATGTATAATCAAAGTATAAAAAAACTAGGTAAAGATCTACTTTGCGTTAACGAATAAATAATATTATATTTGTTATCTAGTCTCTGCCTATAGGCTTTATTTTTAGTTAAATGTGCTGTTAATTAAACAATACAAAAATAACTATTATTTTTATTATTTTATCACCCAATACAGCTAAATGCATTTGGTTATAGTTACCAAGAACCTCAGACATTAAATCATAAATTTTAATTAAACATAAATCAATGTATTAAAATTAATTGAAAATGTTAACTTTCCCTGTATAAGAGAGATTAGAAAGGAACTTTCATCGATTATAAATAACTTTAAAATCAAGTACCTAATGACTAATTATAAAATAAATATGTAGATAAAATTATTACCTGTGAACAGTTATTGAAGTTTCCAATTAATTACCGAATAACTAGAAGCAGTAAACAGCTAGTACTGTTAATGTATTATAATGATAGATAATTATGTTTTAGTGAGAGTAAATTCATACATATATCTCATTCGTATGCTAGTAAAAAAGCTCGACTCCAAATTGAAAAAAAAAACTGTGTTCAGGATAGGTTTTTTACAGCTAGGCTTTGCTAATTTAACGATTTATTAAAAAACAAACAGTCATTTTTCTGTTTATACAACCGCAATGCCCAAGTCACACACACACACACACACACACAACATGGATATTCCCAATATCCTCTGATATTGGGAATATCCATGTTGGAGCCGATTGCTTACCATCAAAAAACCCATTATACATTAAAATTAATGTCCACTAAATAAAAACCAGAAATAATTTCTATTCGCTTCCCGCTTTCAAAGGAACCACGCCTCATTTCCATTATGCATTGAACATTCTGCATCGCTCAAAACGAGAAATCTTGTTCAAGATGACAAGCAAATATGTTCGTAATGGCTTATTGATTCTCATACGTAAATATGTAGCCTCAAATGTTATGTACTACTGGTTGTTTGAACAACGGTAATTGGGATTGATTGGCGAGCGCAGTCGGTGACTCAAATGTTAGTTCAAAGGCCTAGGAAGTACCTAAGTACTTAATTCTCTAATCGTTCAAGATCGCTTACGAATGCGTCGTATTTTGTTTAGAAGTTGCTAGTGGAAGGTTATTTAATGTGTCTTAACCTAGATGATCAAAATTAAATGGCAAAAAACCCACGAGTGAGAAAACTTAGTACCACCAATTCATCAACTATGTCTGTTCCGACCTTTGTTTTCTGAGGAAGAAACTTATCAAATCACTTCTCCCGCCCTGAGTGAAGAGAGAGTTTCAAACACTGACTGAAAAGTAAAAACCACCCTTCTTCTTCTCCTGCTCCAAGCGTGGGCCAAAGTAATTTATAGCACTTGCACCCGCAATCATACAACTGCTTTTAGATTATATTTACAGGACCATATTGTGATAATATTCTATACTAGCTTCCGCTTACGGCTACGCTCGTGAGTAATGTACCCCGGGATTTTACCAACCAGCAGAGTTTAAAGCGGTAGCACGACTGAAATACGCTCAACGCATAAACTCATAACGTAACTCATACGCAAATCTATACTAATATTATAAAGAAGTAAAATTTGTAAGTTTGTATGTAGGGAGTAATCTTTGGAACCGCTGGTCGGATTGCCAAAATTCTTTCACTTTTAAATAGCTACAATGTTTCTGAGTGCTATAGGCTATAAAACATCACGCTACGATACGACATTGTAGCTATCTTTCAGTGAAAGAATTTTTGGGAGATTACAGCTTTTCCAAAGATTAATCTCTACATACAAAATAGAAAAAAATACTTCTTTATAATATTAGAATAGGTTTTTGAAATGTGTTCCTTTTGTTTGAATTACTTGTTATGTATACATATACAATTGTCCAAACCAGGTCCAATCCATCCATATGTGTTATGAAACGTATAGACTACAAGTACTACAACATCGTCGCCGTTCTCAAGAAAAAAACTAACAACGAATGCACATAACATGTATAAATAGAAATGAATATACCTACCTAGTTCTGAAGTAATTGAGTAAAAACATAGCCACGCCAGGGAGGCGCTAAGTTAGCAAAAATTATCAGACTCTCATCATCACCAATAAAGAACTGCAAATACAAAAATGACTCTTAATACAAAAGCAAATAGGGTTTATAGAAACGGTTTTAAAACCATGAAACCATGACGACAACCTACTTCTACTTATCAAGAGTCTTCAACCATAATATCAAGTGATCTGTTCAAACTTTTTGTTTGATTGTAATTCATAATAAAAATATTTCTTGTCTGTCTAATGCGCCGGTACTTTTTATAATAACTTGCCACCGTGTTCTACGCGTTAGGCTGAATATAAGATCCTATGAATTAAAAGCTTACTTGATTAATTAGATTTAGCTTATTATTTCTTTTAAATAGACCAGATAAAATATGTAAAGATAGAAATTATGTTTTTTCATTGTATCATTGTTTTAATTAACTTTAAATTATAGATACGTAATAAATGTTTATTTCTGATAACTCCCATCAAATTTCTAGTGTGCTAGGTGCTTCTTTTTTGAAGAGAGAATATCATCATGTATCTCTCGTCCAGTGTAAGGCGAGAGGAAGTGTCACTCTTACTGACTAAATAGTACTCCGTTGCTTCCTTCCCTCCTAGAGACCTCCTTATCGCGCTTAACCCGTACGCCTGAGTTTTCTCAATAATATGGAAAAATGTACTGAAATTTACCAACCCAAATATATTATACCAATCTCAAACATACTCTTTTTATAACCAAAGATCCTTGTAACTAACCATACGTTTCTCTTGTTCACAGCCAAAAGGGCTACAGCCCCTGGAACGGCCCTTGGACGACGCCGACGGTGACGGCGACTGGTGACTGACCGAGGTATCCGCGCGGGCCGCCTGCGCCCGCGCACCCGCGCTGAGCACGCACGGGGACGGGGAGTGAAGGGAATTGAGGACTAAAGGACTATAAGGAACAGTGGCCAGGGGGAAGCACCTAAAAGACACTTAGATCTAAAGTTTGACGACCTAAATCACCGCTAAACTTATATACATGTTTAAGTAAATGACACGTTTAGTTGTATTATATATAACTATGGATGTTTATCGGACTAATTCTGTAGTGAGTATACATGTATTCGTTGTTTTTATGTACTGATTGCAATCTTTACATTGTTGAGTGCATTTTTCCTGTCTTGAATGCAAGTTCTAGATATGCTGTGAGCATTAATATGAATCTACGCGGTGAGTGAAATTTTAAAAGAGTTTTTCTAACATATATCGTATGAGAAGGTAATTTATTAAATTAATCATGATTATGGTAACTGTTAGAAGATTCATTTACAATTTATTTTGTGTAATTACGTATTTTATGCTCACGGTACTATCAAGCTGGTATGAAGATATTATTATATTATGTATCCAATGTTTAATCAGAAAGTTTATAAAAGTGTATAAAATTATTGGAAATCTTTGTCAAAGAAGTAAAGATAATTGAAGTCTGATTTATTACTGTCAGATAACACAAATGTTATTATTATGTATTTATTTATGTTAAGGAAGTCATACTTATAATGTTATACAAATAATTAATTCCTTGTTTATAAAAGTTGGTTGAAGAAAAATATCATTAAATCAATAAGGGTTGGTTCCACTTTGTACAGTCGTTCGCTTGCCAAAGGTGACACATAAAAATGATTCTAATTTTCATTGAACTAAAAACGTTTATCGTAAATCAAGAACTTACTCGTGACAATTTAACACGGCGTTAACAACGTTGACATGTATATTTTTATAAAACTCGTATTTTTTACAAAATCTTAGAAAATACAAGTTTTATTGTAATATAATATCAATGTTCACGGCTTCACTGTGAAATTGATTTAGTAAAACATCAAGTTACTACGCAGACTACGTTCTTAGAAAAATATTATTTTTACATCTACGCCATCGATTTAAGACGATAGTATGGTGGTGGTAAACTTACCCGTAGCTTTTATTATCTAGGCAAGAAGATTCATTTTCGTGATAAACTGTTGCCATTGACAAGCGATCGACTGTATACGACCGAAATTTCACATAACCGGAACAAAATCCATGACAAACCGTAACAAATAGAATTTCACATGTTTTTTTTTACTCAGACAAAGACATTAATAATTCAATTTTCAATATTTTCACAGATGATAAGTACTGCAGGTAATGCATCTTTTATTTTCCTTTACTCAGTATGCAGACATAGCAAAGACGCATTTTGTAAATAAATTAACAATTTTAATCCTAAAATAGTTCTTAAAATTACTCGTTTTTGGTGGACATTAGTGCTTAATTCCTAGCACTAAAGTTCAATTTCGTAAAACATCTCATCTGTACAGCGAAAACATTCAGAATAAGAAAGTCTTTAGACACGACAATGTCGCCATTAGGTTTTTCTTTCTTTTAGATCATCTAGCCTTACAATTTAGATATAAATTCTCCCACAGCCACGTGGCCACAGCCAGACGGTTGAGAACTTTATGTAAGTGATTTAAGGTGCAATTTATAATGAGACCCCCAGAGCCCGAATGGTGAACGAATTGATCCGTCCGATGTTGTGAAACCCCCGTGTCGTCGCTCGCTGCGGTAGTCCCGTACCGTGGACTGTTTCTTTTCGGCCACGATATTTCGCGACAGATCGTCGGTTTCTGTGTACATCGACGCCTTAATGGCTTAATCATTATCATAAAAGTACATCAAGCCGTCAATGTACACACAGTCGGACGATCTGTCGAGAACAGTGTCGCGGCAACATAGCCTGTGAACTGATCTGTATAGTAAAACTTCTTATGATGCCAATGGAACGGTTAGCTCGTTCCGATCATGTATAAAGCTTTAATTTTTAGTATTATTACGATGAACCGTCAACTTTTCTGAGGCATTTTGTGAAATATTTATAAATTTAAATTCGAAGTACATATTAATTTTTACGTGTAGACTCGTATTCGTAATTGGAGTGGGTACGTCTGCATAAATTGGCTCAGTGACGTGGCGGTGACGTTGATGTCATTTGGGTGTCCGCGGCAGGGCCGGGCCGAGCTCGAGTGAAGGCAATTACAACTGGAAAATTGAACTTGCATCCTTTAGTTATGGAAAAGATAGCACATTAATTGTAGCCAGGTATACATATCTTGTGCCATCTTTTACTAAACTTGTAGTAAAGGAAGTGACGTTTTCCCTTCAATTAGCTGCCGCGAACACCTAATTGCTATCTATATTCTATACACCCATTTATTATTTTGTCAAATGCAGATAAGTTCACAATATCTATGTGTGTTCACTGGAACGGAATTGCAAACCCACCTCTTAGAGCATCTACAATTTACACGAATGTAACGACGTGTTATAATATCTATAAAAATATATTATTTTATCTTTAAATACTTACAAAATAATGATCTCTGAAAATGTTAAAATAAAATCCGTAATTTTAATCCGCGTGCGTTGTCCAGCGAATTTTCCCCGTAACACCACACATGTCTGCACGGTGAGTGCTTCATCAAATTAAGAGCTACACATATCTAGCTACAGGATCTCCGGCGGCTACCATGACAACGATTTAAAGCCGTTACAGTCGGGCGCAGGGCGCAGGGGTGCTCAGTGCTCACTCACTACAACCAACGCACATCTCCCTGACATCTGATCACAATCGATTACACACGCCTGCTCATCCACTCATTTATTTTACGTAATAACGTTCACTTCTCCTTCCACTTCGTGGGTATACGAACAAGTACATATCTACAGACGATGTTTAAGAGTACAGTAAATTGTGGATGCTCAACCAACCATATCCGTATATTATAAGATGGTGCGTCAATGGGTACAGTTACAGAGTATGTGCGTAGTGCATAATACTTTATTGTTTAGTTGTGATATGTAACAACACGCGCCGGGGTGCGGCGCTAGTTCCAAATAAGTGCAATCCGATCGGACTGTATGTATATCGTAGTTAGACAAGTTAAGCGGAGGTACGATGCATTTAATTTATGTGTAGGGGCAATGCACGCCGAATTTGTTATTTAAATCGACGCTTAACATTACGCCGGTGCAACGCACGGCCACCTTACGTGCGCATTTACGATGCTAGCAAACATTGTATCTGATCTCAATACTCTTGAATACAACGCCATCTATCGGCAGTATAGCTAAGAGTCGATTGTAAATAGCAATTCGGCGTGCATTTGCTTCATTTATTATTAGACAGAACATCACGGTGACTACTGTTAGCGTGGCCAGCTGACAGGCTAGTAGTAGTCGACATGACGTCGATATCTGGTTAAAATGAGAGTAGGCAAAATACATAGTCCCAGCAACGAGATGTGTTAGAGGAGATTATTTTGTTGGCTGATAGCAAACAATGGAAGGCATGTAATTTGTCAAATATCGCTATTGTAGAATAACATTAACATTTTTCCTTCAAGGATAGTAGGCAGTGCTGTATCATGTTTAAATTATAATTCAATGTTTATTAGTGACTAGTAATGCAAATTGTTTCACATAATTTAAGTTTAGGCGGCCGCAATGTAACTCGGATAATTTTACAGCGGACAAAGTATAATATAATTGCATCAACTTGTTGCACGTAAACCACAATTTAGTCAGTGTTACATTAACCAGTTGTAGCTGTTAACTATCTCAGTGTTCGTTTGTGTCAATCAGTGTGATTTTTGCTTCGAGAATTTCAAATAATAAAAGGTAAATATTTCCGAATAATGATAAATTATAATATAAATATATGTAGTGTCAAGGAATTATTCTCATTTTAGCCAGTGTAAGTCTGTGTTAGCGTCGTAAATATTCATGTCGATTCGTGTTCTTATGACTTACTATTTAGCTATAGTCACACTAAATGTATGAAATATCCTTACTGTTCTCTCATTCTGACCATTATTTGTTACTATTTTGCTCTCATGAATGACTCTGTAAAAATATTGTAATGGTCTATTTACATGAATTTCGAATAATTAAGATCTATCTAAGCCCTGTAACATTGTACCTAACTATTATGTGTAAGATTAAGGATTTAATGCTAGCAGTACGCAATACATCGGTTTATTTGTTACTCAACTATTTACGTTTATATCACTGTGCAATTTATATTAGGTAACTCATTATGTTTGATTGGAAAACTGTTATTAATTTAAGTAAATTTATTGACCGAATAAACAGTATTCGTCCTCAACAAGTTGTAAGAACACAAACTCGATATTAGAAATTATAAAATAATAACTTTTTATTATTAAAAAAAATCTATTTATTTCGTTATTTTTTAAGTTTTCGATGATTTTAATTGTTCTCGTTACTTTCCTTGGGAATCTTTATCAATTTGTAGTAATTAGTAAGTACAGTTCTCGCGCAGTGTGTACAACGGGGATCGAGTGGCGATGTCTATGTTAAGAGACAATTATAAATTGATATCAAACTACTTTTCTAATGTACAATTCCATTTTTTCTATTCCGGTGTCATTAGTAAACGTATGTGCCCGCATGTCGCAGTCGCCGTCGGCTCAATCCCCGTTAAGAAGACGAATTGTTGGTTATTCTTGTTCGTGACAACTCACTATTCCAAAAGTTTCCTGATGTAATTTATTGACTTGAATAATGAAATTACGCTTCTAAAGTGTATTACGTATGTAAATATAGGACAAACTAATACCTATTATTGATAGTGAATGTTGTAATTTGTATATAAGTAACGAAAATTAAATTTTAAATACATAGATAACATTGTGCGTATTTATTTCTTTTATTTATTACCTTTTGTGGAGAAAACTATTAGATGACCTCATTACAGATAAAAGTGTAAGCTGGTGGCAGCAACGTATTTCTGTACACCATTTAATACTACTGATCACATTGGAATGTAAAATTATAATTGTACAATTTTTACTACTACGCTGTGCCAAAAAAAGCGCAGCCGAGTACCATAGCAATTGGCTCAATCTCCTTTGGTACAGAGATGGATTATTGTCCGGAATAACAGGTTACCCTGGTGGTGCGGGCGAAGCGGCTGAGAAAGACTAGTGAATAATACTCAAGAGACCATAAAAATGAAACAACAATTAAAAATTAATATACATAAAATATAATTAAAATAACACATTATTTTACATACTTCGACAGGGTTGTACAATATTAACTGGGATCAGAAATGTATAGTATTGGAATAGCTTTGTACAATATGTATACAGTCGTATAAATACGCATGAACATGTGTTCAATATTTTGTATACACGTTCTAATTAAATACAAAAACTAAGCGTCACTAATTCAATGGACGTAGTTAATAGCTAGTATTTACCTACCCACCAAGAGATGGCGCTATTATACATTTTCACGGGTTAGTTCTGGATGCACGCAATAGATGGCAGTGTTACACATACTACTACAATGGTAATACTTTGTTCGTTTAGTGTAAAATTTTGTTACATTATAATACTACTTGAGATCGAATAAACAGCTAATGACAGGATAAAAACGCACTTGGGTGGTTAGTACGTCAACCATCGACAAGGGTTTACTTGAAACTTAAGCAATCAGACCATAGTACTCTTTGGAGACCACCATACAAAATATTCAATACACTTTATTAAATATAAAAATCACAGTTTGCGAAATAGCGCCAAATATACAATTTTCGCCTTTATGTTACAAAGTTAGAACAATAGGAAACTAAACTGCAGCTAAGTATTTTTTTCTATAGGATAGCGTTTCAACGTGATTATTTTATGAAGTGCAGAGAGCAATAAAACTTATTACTTTTCATAATGGCAAATAAAATATCAAACGATTTCATTTTATTATTACTCTCCAACTTTCATATCTTGGAGAAACAGACCAGCTATAAGGACGATTGCATAAAAATTTTCCTAAACAATTTTCCTGCAAAAAAGGCTGCTCGTCTCTTTGGATTTCAAGATATACTCATTATACAAATTAAAGTTTATATATTTTATATACATAGCCTATCAAATTTGCGCCATTTACCCCGTTTGCACTGTTTCATTTGACATCCATATGAAGAAGATTAGACAAGAAACTTAACGGTTACTTTTTTACAGTAAGTACCACAGTAACAGTTAAGTTTAAAAAAATAAGGTTTATCGCCATCTGCACTTCACTGAATAATAAAGAACCATTAAAAATCATTATTGTCATACAGTATTAATACTTAGGATAACAGTAGTTTCATCATAGTGTAATCTGCCAAAAAGTTTTGAAGTACCCCTTTACAATATTATTTTTAAAGCATTCCCACTTCGAACTTAGATATATTTAAATTAAGTAGAGAGTTTTTTACTAATTACAAATTGCTTTTGAAGTAACTACGCATCTAATTCTTTGTGACATAATGTTTTGTGATAGTCCAACAGAATGGGATATTCTTCAGAAAAGTTTAACAAAAGTTAAATTGTTATTCTCAACTTATAATCCTTGAGAAAGTAAACAATTCTGAGTGTTAAAATTCAACTTTACTCGAATTGCTGATCACAAATTATTTGTGTCCAAATACTCAAAGACCATTTTACTTTAAGACACCAAAGTGACAAATAAACCCAAGAGTAAAATTGAGCAGCATTTAAGTATTCGGTAGCAAGAAAACATTCTTGTTATATATTTTGTTAAAAAAATCGAAGAAACACCCATTGACAATTTTCATTCGGGATATAATTAAATACATAAAATCTTTTTGTTTTAAAAAGTTAAGCACCATACAAGAAATACGTAATATTTTCAATGAGTTGGACAAAAAAATTGCGTAACAAAAAATCTTATACAATACCAGCATTCAATTCATACAGGCAAAACCTTTCTTTCTTACTTCAAAAATTAAAGATTTTTTGCAGCAAAGGGTAGTTTATTGGCGTCTGAACAAAGTGTGGACGTTTTAACAAATGCTTTTATTTACTACTTTACGTTATCAAAACTGTTTTACATATTTATTATTATAATATGATCAATTCTAGTGCAAGGTTTACAGGTGTCAAGGATAAACGGTAAGAAAGGATGGTCGAAAAACCTGATCGGAGCCGCATGCGCTCTAAGAGCCATCAGATCACCAAAGATGGGCCTCTCTGGGGCTAATAGGTCCAGACGGGGTTGAGCTGCCAGCTTTTAGTCAGTAAGAGTCTGACATCCCGTCTCTCTATAAATTTACCTCCTCAAATAAGGAGAACACAGGCATTATGTCTAGCAAAAAATTCCTGTTTAGTGCCTAACTGACTTCAGTATTTGAGCAAAAATGTTAAACTAATATAGAACAAGTGTACTTTTTTACTATGTAGTATTGTATTCTAGATTGCTGATTCGTCTTAATCAAATATTGATAAACCCCGCACTTGAATGTCAACTTGCCTACTAATAACCTAAAAGCCGAACCCTCAAAGTACCAGATAATCCATAAAGAGTTACATACAATGTAGACTCCAAATCAATGTTTGAGAATTCGGCACATATTGGTGCAAAAATACTACAGCCAAGCAAAAATGTACTTTATTTTAATAGTATCAAGAATAGGGAAAAGGGATTTTTGCTTGGCAGTTTGGATCTATAATGTAGATTAAATACAAGTTTAAATACGGTTATAAGTATCACAAAATTCCACATAGTCCATTACAAAATACGAGGACTATATACATAGGTAGATTCAATTATGCTAATCACACCAAACGTCATTTCTAGTAATTTAACCTTATAACATCCACAGTAAGGTTTAAATTTCATCAACACCAAGGACGTAGATAGGAATCAAAATAGTTTAAAAATATAAACATTTAAGTATAACGTAATTATTGCACTGGACACTAATCCTAGGCAGTATTGCAAAAACTAAAGTATTATTTAAAATAGCACAAATAAAATAAAATCTATTAATTGAGAAAATACAAATACTTGTTTAATTAAGATTTTTAACGATTAGTGGCGCTAGTGTAGCAATAGAATTTTTTATTTTTATTTGGACTTAACTTGTCATTAACGCACCCTCGACGCACCTGTGCGTTCAATACATTAATGTATTGAACGCACAGGTGCGTCGAGGGCACACAGAGTAGCGTAAGGAAACGCACATACGCGTCGGGGGCACTGAATGTGTTAACGCCATCTGTTGAGTGTTTTATTGAAAGCTTTTCAATCTCGAATTTTAATTTTAACTAGTAATATTGTTTGAACATTATAGCTTTGTGACGATAACGTATTCCATATTAACTGCAAAATATTACTGTTTCCCTGTAAACCATTAGCTTTCATTATTTTAATAGGTTCATTACATTTCAATGCGCAAAAATTATAACCTAAATAAAAGAATATAATGACCAATCGAAATGTTTGTAAGAAAATTACGTGTTAAATAATTTAAAAGAAATCCGTTTAACAGCGAACAATTTTGCGTTAATACATACAACGTTCTGAAGTCTTGGGATCGAAGTCCTTTTTGAGATCGAAAACGAAAATGTTTCTGTACCAATATTTTTATTAAGGTGCCATTCTCCGGTGCATTCTTTTTTGACAAGGGATCTTAAGGAGGTCCTGTGCCACTACTTTTGGCAAGGTTCCCGTTAGTTTTATAACCGAATAAATAAATATATCTTCTATTTGAAATGTGTTTTAAAACAGAAACTTAATCGACAGAAGTAAAGCCATGTAAATGGTGTGTATTATCTATTTTCAGCAAGTAAATTTGAATAGATATTTTGAATAATTAAAACCTACTTAACGTTGTTACGTAAACTAAAACATTTTGAAATAATAAAAAAAAATGTGAACGATTCTTAGTTACGTAGGTAACACATAAACTGTTTGAAATAAAAATATTTTTAAATAAATAAATGAAAGGGCGATTAGTTTGAAAATTACGGACATATTAAAACAACTTTCATTAATATGTAACTGTGTGAACAATTCCTTTGTTGTTTTTTTTATTAATTTACAATTAAATCTCACTCATATAGATATACTAAATACAAATGTACAATCGATAAAATAGTTGGTGACTAGGTAAGGTTGAATCACAACATTAATCGAGAATAACCAAGCGGTTACTTTATCCATGTTAGAGAATGTATCTAAATATCGATTAAAGTTTTTCCACATTCACTGTTTTATTGGGAAGGGATGATTTACTGAGATACCATAAGGCCCGATGTTGTAAAGACATAAATATGTAATATGTAAAGTATATTATCTCATTAAGAACAACAGTTTAAAACTCACTCCGTATGAATGCATGAAGGATGAAGTAAACATACTTTTCTATACACCTACCCAGTCGTCAATCAACTTTGCCAATTGTACTTAGCTTGTGACAATATTTAGTGTATTTAGTATACATACACAACATAATAAATGTACACTATTATAATAATTATTACATAACGACGAATAAATATTCTACAGTCAAAAAAACTAAGGAGCCACAGTCCCTGTCAAATTCCATTTGCTTTTTAAAACAAAACCTCTTAGCTACCTTTAACAAATTACAAGTCTCAATATTGAGTTCTTTACTTTTCGAAATAAAGGCTATAATCGTGTACTTCAGAAACGAATTGGATTTGCCACAGGGACCCGACTGTGAAGTATAAATAGTATCTACTTACTACAAGTACGTTAGGCGTAAGTCTTATTTTGGTTGGACGCTTCATACACACTTGTTAAATTGAGATCTGAAAGTAAAATAAAAACTTCACATTATTAATTTAACCTACACAGTCAATTTTGGAAATATACTTTGAAATTGTAAAGGTTAAAAAGTTTATCTCAGGATTTTTCATAATGACAAGCCTCAGTTGTGTTTCGTAGTGTATCCGAAGGCACAATGCTGCCTTCACCCCCTTTCTCTGAATACCCCAATCCCCCGATCCTGAAACCTCCAATCCCCAAAAGGGCGGTAACAAAAGTCAAAAGCAACGCTTGTATGATACCCCCGTCTTATGGTAAGCACAGACAGCACCGATGGCTTACATATTTTTTCTAGGCTCAAATTACCACTTCGTAGCAACCATTTTCAATGTATAAGACATAAAGGAGCATCCACGGTGAAAACTGAACTCAATTTCAGAAGCAAAAATATTTTGATGATTGGATTATTCATTGGCGTAAGTGTATAATTTGTGTAGTAATTAAATTTCTTTTTTTATGAGTAACCAAAATATTGTGTATTATTGATTTTTTTCCGGTTCATTGTTGACAGAGTAGTATCTTTTATATATGTGACGGAGCGTCAATTATTTAAATTGAATTTTGAAGGAGGTTTAATCACAATTCATCGGACGAGGGTACAATGAATCGTACTCTAGCGGAACGTCAAACTGACAGTTCTGCGTGCGCATTATGGTTGAGAGCGAGCGCTGTGACTGTCATCTGAGACGGATCGCCGACATCCATTATTTATGTAATTTATTCATCATCATCATCAGCCGGAAGACGTCCACTGCTGGACAAAGGCCTCCCCCTTAGCTCTCCACGTCGAACGACAAGTTGCCACCTGTGTCCATTGGCTCCCCGCGACTCTGACGATGTCGTCGGTCCACCTAGCGGGAGGCCTGCCCACACTACGTTTTCCGGTCTTTGGTCGCCACTCTAGGACTTTTCGGGCCCATCGACTGTCCGTCTTTCGAGCGACGTGGCCTGCCCATTGCCACTTTAGCCTGCAGATTTTACGAGCTATGTCGGTGACTTTGGTTCTTTGGCGAATTTCCACATTTCGGATTTTGTCGCGCAAAGAGACCCCGAGCATAGCCCGCTAAGCATAGCATAGCCCGTAATTTATTCGGTCTGATTATAAAATCCTACGCCCTGCGGTGTACCGTGAAGACGATGATCGGGATGTTGATGTTTGTACCAACCCCCCGGTGCCTTCATATGTAAATAAATAACAAAACAAAACTACAGCAAAACCGAATAAAACAAAACTCAATACACACCTAAATCATTACTTATCGAGCAGCGACAACCTCAGCGCTTCATCGAAGGCCTTCTGTTCCGCTGCGAGCTGCATATCTCTAGAAGCCTGTTCCCTCGCCGACAGCGCTAAGGCGGCCGCTAGCTCTGCATCGCCGTCCGTATCGAGGTCCACTTCATCATCAACTATCGGGGCTTCCGGTGAACTCGGGGTCAATGACACCGACGCTAAGGACGCCTCTATCGCTCTGTGAATTGCTAGCGCATTAGCTACCTAGCTGGGCTACATCGTGCATTCAAAGATAGAATATTTGTGTATTAGCTGAATATATATTTGTGTATTAGCTGAATTTAGTTAGGTAAAGTAAAACGGAACAACTTTTTTGTAGGTATGTATGTGAAATTGTATGTTTAAATATTTAAACGCACCCACGACACAGGAGTAAACCCTAATGTGGGGAAACGTTTCAAAGAAAGATTGTTTTATAGAAATCACATTCAATCTTCAAACGTAAAGACAGTCTTGCAATCTTGCTTTCTATTCCTAAAGCAAACTTTCTGGTAAGATTATATATAGCATGTTTGAGTAAACAAATATATCCAAATAATTGTACATTAGGAATGTATGAGGTATGGAACCACTTGAATCACTACATAGTATAAAACAAAGTCACTTTCTTTGTCCCTATGGATTTCGATACAGTTTTTTTCCTCAATAATTACTCTAACTAATAAAGATGAAGTGAGGAAGGAAAAATGTATAATAACATCCATTAAAGTGTAGCAGTATTGCACCCGTGCGAAGCCGGGGCGGGACGCTAGTATGGTATAAAGTAAAAATGGAAATAATACCCACATCCAAACCAGTGATATATAAAAAATACAATTATATTTATCTAAATATAAATAGTGTAAAAATATTCTTATAATAAAAATATATTATCAATAAATATTATTTATTTATTAAATAATAATCTATAAATACTTTATAATAATAAAGCTGAAGAGTTTGTTTGTCCGATCGCGTTAATCTCCGGAAGTACAGAAGTGTTTCGAATTAAACAATATCCATTAATCAATTAAAACTATAGGCTATATAAAACATCACGCTACGACCAATAGGAGCCGAGCGGTTGAAACGGCGCGAGAGTAGCTTGTTATTTCTGTTAATATTTTTACTTACTATATGAAAAAATTACCTACATATAATTAATCTATGTGCAAAGTTTTATATAAGGCAAAATGTGCAACATAGCAATATAAAAGTTGCCAGTGTATAAAAACACACGCTTCTACAATTCTACCAATGAAAACGCCAACGTCTGGAAATATATCAGTTCATTCATCACAATTCAAACTTAGTGTAAAAAGACTGTGTTTTTGAATTCCGAATTAGGTTTCGAATTCCTTAAGTAATTTTTTTGATGTTCGAAAATAGTTCGAATATCCTTGGCTTTAAATGGTCGAGTTAATTCGTATAGTAAATCAATCTGAATTATTGGTGGTGGTTGGTGTCGACTGTGAAGTGTAGATTCTGTAGTAATTTTTTCATCGACGGGATAAAGTGATTAATAGAGTCAATATAAAATGATAGTATACCTCTGTAACTGCCTCTCCTCGTGCGCGAGTAGATGCGTGTCGGTGGCGCGCATGCGCGGCGGCGCGGGGGACGACGGACGCGCGCCGCGGAGCGCCTCCCATACGTCCACCTACAGGGTTTTATATCAAACGATATTATTACAATAATATTATTAGAACTAATTTTAGCTGGGAAATACAAATCAATTATCTGATATCCCTTATGAAATGACAATGTTAAGGAAGTTTAATAAAAGTAAAAAAGACATATACATTATAGAGTTATCAATTGAAAAAAGTAGAACATTTTTCAATGCAACGTTAATACATACCTAAAACTGACACGTATGCCTAATCATAACATTTACGTGATTTCTAAAACGAGGTTATATAAAAAGTTTGCCATTTTGAAAAATATCTATGATTATTGGAACTAATGACTTCCTAGTGTGAATTAACTGAGAAACGCTCTACTAGTTTCGAGTTACAACGGGACTCTTACTTATGAGCAGAATTCGCGTCGCGGTGACGTTACTATCTATACTATACTACTACAAAAATATCTATGGGTTTAAATCTTAACTTTCGTCTCCATATAACCAACTGACCTGATCATCCTGCGTCCCAGTCTCCATTAAGCTCTGTTGTATCGCATATTGCAACAACCCTTCTTCATCATCGACTCCACAAGCGAGTCTCTCGTCCGGTCCCGCAGAGTCTCTATAGCCACGTCCGATGGAGAAGCACTGGTCGTCCACTAGACAGGACAATCGATCCCCTTCTTGTATACATTCAATGTAAGGGACTGGCGTCTCAGTAGCGAATATGTTGCCGAATGTGATGCGCGCGTTTAGCACGTGGAAGAGGGGGATTTCTGGAAGCGAAAAATTATAAGTAATTATTGTGATTTAGTTGGTTACGGTTTATAGGTATGTGGTGTCTTGAGTGGGCTGATTGACCCGATAAAAGAAATCGTCGATCCCGAGTTACATATTAAAATATATCATCCTCGCGCCCTCCTCCTCCTCGCGTCAATTTCCTCAGTGCTGAGGGTCGTTAGCACCTCGTGGAAGCAGTGTACTGCGTAGTAATAGGCCATCTATTTCTATCTGCCGCCGAGTGGAGAGCATCGTGTGTTGAGAGTGGTGCGAATCTGGTCTCCCTCCTTTACTTTACCAGTGATCAGTAACTTTTCCAAGTTATTATTGTCGCCTGGCGTCATTTCTACTCAATGCTGAGAATCATGACCTTGACAAATTATTTTCTCGCAGGAACTAATTCCGCCATCTTGTCCTGTCTTCGGTCATGTCAAAGACAGTTTGTATTTAAAATGGCGCTGATCAGGTTTGTTTAGCGTATGGGTTTTCGGCTTCTCCTATTCCAATTTAAAACAAAATATACATATAATGCAATTTACTGTCTGTCATTGATCAAGCAAACTAATTTTTAACTTAATACTGTTGCAACGAATTAGCCTAGAATGCCAAATAAAGCTTAAGAACAAAAAATAATGCCTCCCAAAGGACCTTGTCATCATTTATGGGGGCGATTTGATAGAGGTCTATTGAAGTTAGACACCGCAAATAAAACATGTAATGTACAGTTTAAAAATCTTACCAATTTTAACAGGGAAGCCGGCTGGCAGCTGCATTTGGACGAAGTCTTTTAGTTTGGCGAAGTGTGGAGACGATATAGCGGCCATTAGGTCGAGGATCGGCATTATTTGTTCTTGTAGCTGAAACATTCATCAATCACAGCGTATATTTTTGAGTGTACATGATTTAAAAAGCTGTACTTCAAAAAAATATTAATTTCAATAAAAACTCGTCTTCACCCTGGCTTTCTGTCAATCCTCTTCACCCAACCTATACGACAAATGGAGATAGCTTCCATTTCCCATTCCAATATCTACTCCGAAATCAAAGAGGAATTAAATAGTAAATTATATTATGAACAATGGTGCAACAGATTTTTTGTGTATCAAAGATTTCTAGGATACAAGATTATGCCCGATAGCAAAAAAATATTTCTTATATTCTATATTCTTTTTAACATTGTCACTGACCTCCAAAGGATAATCCTCACAGAGCCAGAGCGTCGCTTTGAACTTCTGAACCTTAGTGGCCACCTCCCGTGGTCTCCCGATGTCTCTATCTAGCTCCTGGTCGGAGAAGTATTCCTCCCATGTAACGGGGATGTAGGTCAGGTCCTCGCGGGACCTGCTACTGCGGGGGCTCGGGGACTCGTCTTGTAGAGGCGACTGAGGAAGACCAATATAATATTTTATCGAAATATTCAAGTTTAACTCTCATACTATTTATGCTGTTTCGAGGATCTTCAAGTAGTTTCGAAATATACCGGGATCGATAGTGATGACAAGGTAATTAATTGAACTGAACATATATCTATAAATTAATATCCCAATTGCTCTCTTCTATATGGCATAGGGTGCAAAAGGAGCAGTTTTATCACCTGATAGCAATCGGAGCCATCCATAATGGAACACCATAGGATTTACGAAGCCGTTACCGAACTTTTAAGGAAATGAGGATTTATGATTTGGGTATTAGAATTTGGCGGTTTAGGAATGGAGACTGAGCCTTCGGTTACCATATTTTATATTTACACTGCACAATATTTTTATTGAGAAAGAAAAACATAAATTTAAGCTCTGTACGTTCAGAATAAATATAGATGATAAATGAATACCTTTTCGGGTAACAAAGGAGAGTGTGCTTCAGGGTCTGCGAGTGCTAGTAGGCCCGCCAGCGGAGCGCGGGGGGCGGAGTGCGCGGGGCGCGCGCCCCCGGAGCCTGCGCCCTTCACGTGCTCCGTGCGAGTCTTCGACACCAGCTCCACGTTGTTGGCCCCGAACACTTTACACTCGTAGCCATTTACATTTTCTGTCTTGTCCTGCCGCCAGCCCCATATACCGCTCTTATTTCTGAAATGATATATATCAAGTTTATGTGACAGAATTTCAACCTTAACATTTAATAAGGAAGGTTGTAATCTAAACGAATAATTTTGACATTTAAAATACTTTGCTGCTGCGACTGCTGCAGATAAATGTATAATTTTTAATCGTAATAATTTAAGTAGATGCGTTTAGTCTCAGGTCGCTTCCAAAATCTAGTTTTAGTTTTATTAAACATCTATTCATTTCTTTCTTTAATAATTTGTATACACACAGTAAGTTGGAGAAGAAAAATAATACAACAATTAGGTACAAAGACACAGCTTATTTCTTCAGAAATCTCTTCCAACAGGCCCGTCACATCTACTGTGTCAAAAGTCTTTAATTTTATCCACGATATTATGTGATAGGTCGGCAAACCAGCAGACAAATTTTTTGTCGCCGTTTTTCTGTTAGTTAGTATCACTCCGGTCGAGCCGGTCATGCTGAAGCTTAGCTCTCCCACACTTAACCATTCAATCGTGGTAATTCGAAGTGCGTTCGCTTGTGGAATGATGAATTAAACACGGATGAGACGTAAAACGACACTAGCGCCACTCCAAAAACTTAAAGACTTACCTTTCGAAGCTAATTTTGTCGGTGTCCAAGTAGTTGATGGCAAGCGGCGCGGCCAGGCGCTGCTCTATGACATGCGGGGGCGGCGCGGGCCACTCCCTGTCCCCAGACATCGGTTCTAAATACTCGCACCATGACGTTCCAAGTTCATGGTCTAACTCCATTAAACTTGCTGTGCGACCTGACATGAAATTTATTCAATAGGATAGTAAATTAATTAAATGCTTCATCATCATCTCATCATCAGCGTATAAGTGTCCACTGCTGAGCAAAGGAGAAGGTTTGAATATTGCTCACTACCAAGATGCATAAGCCACATTTAGATTATGCAAGTTTTTTGTTGGTTTCATACAAATAATTAAAGCAATAATTTACTTGCATAGTATCATACCATATGTATTTTTGGCAATGATATTTTATTATGACCATATAAACAGGTCTTAAATTAATTGCATTCAATTATTGCTCTTATTACATGAGCCTTTAGAGCATAAAATACTTGTATAATAATTTATCAAATTACAGAATTTTGACAATACAATTATCTACACAATATGAACCTAGACATGTGTATGCTAAAAATTCTTCTTACATTATTCCAAACAATGTTATAAACGCGGAAGTTTATTAATTTATTCCTCTGTACACTTTGAACAATGTTCCTAAATGTTTAGTAGCAAGGAAGACATATGCTACCTTTTCAATGTGATCAAAGTCATTGGTAAAAGCTACTAAGGTAATAAAGGAATGCACTGATTAAGAACTTACCCTGTCCTCTGAATATATATGTCCTATCCCCTCTCTGCCATCGATTATTGTCGAAACCAACGAGTGTAGTGTCGACGCGCACGTTGCCACCGCGCTTGTACACTTTGTATGTGTCGAACGGACACATACGTGATACTAAGGGTACTGTGGAAGAATTTATATTCATATTAGCATATATGTTTTAAAGTACAGAGAATATTCGTCTTTATAGTTTAAGGATAGAGTTAAAAATGTAATTGTATTACAATAAAATCTAAAATCAAACACTATAACACATTAGGCAATTGTTTCCAATTACTTTTATGTGTATTCTATGCCTACGAAAAAATTTTTTCGAAATGTTACAAACTAATGCAGTTACCTAATCATTGAAATACATGGCTTACTCAGCTATATAAGCTAAAAGTAAGACTTACTAGTTAGAAAGAGTTAGATCTAATCATAGCCTGATTTAGCTAGGTATACTTTTGTAATGTAAACTAATATTCTAAAGCTGAAGAGTTTGTTTGTTTGTTTGTTTGAACACGCTAATCTTTGCAACTACTGGATTGAATTGAATGATTCTTTTTGTGTTCGTATGTCCATTTATCGAGGAAGGCTATAGGCCATCATGCTAAAACGCGCGAGAGTAGCTTGTTATAAATAATTGTAGAACTTTAACATACCCCAACTAGTAAACTCCCATTTCATCTCCACGTAGAAGTCTGGCGCGAGACTGAGCCGGCGTAGTAAGTCCGGTATACCGCCAGAGCGCAGCACGTGGCGCTGGTAGTCTCGCCGTGATAGCACCATCGAGAGAAGCTCCGGGTTACCCGTTGAAGTTGCTTCTTGGACCGCTGCAATGGTATTAAGGATATTAAAATAAAATAAAAATTAAATAGTTAATTGTGCGACTAAATATAGAAGTTTCTGGAACTTGGAGGATTAATGCAATAAAAAAATGAATAATGAAAAATATAATAAAAACTCTACTGCAAAACTCTTTTGTTATACCTTGCCTAAATGCAATGGTAATAAGTCGCATAATATACATATACTATACTTAAAGGTAAAAGAATGGCTTTGTGTTTCGGGCAATCCTTGAATATCCGAAACCCCTCTAAAAGGTCGGCAACGCACTCGTAACTCCTTTGGTGTTACTGGTGTCTTTGGGTGGCGGCGATTGCTTATCATAAGGTAAACCGCATGCACGTTTGCCAACCTATCTTATAAAAAAAGGCTCAAGGCAGAAAATTAAGCAGATCGGCGGTGAAATTATTAAGCCATGAATTCATTTATGAGGACAAAAAACATTTTAAAACAATTCTCTCTCAATAAAACTGCTCACTGTAAACTCTTATGAAAAACGATCAATTTGAAGAAACTCTTCTAAACTCAATACACACCAGTCCAGCCATCTTTCTCGCAGTTGACATCAGCGCCGGCCTCAATGAGCACGCGCGTCGTCTCCAAGTGACCGAGCGTCACTGCCAGCAACAGAGGAGTGCGCCCTCTACAGTCTTTGGTTTCTAACTCTTCTTGTGTAAACTGTAAATTAAAAGATATTAAGTAAAATCTCCAAAACTCGAATCAATGACGTTGGTCAGAAAACCGCAAGCCTCAAGTGGCACTGGGCTAGAAATGTCTGCATGTCAAACAAGTGGTGCGCAAAATTTATTACCACACAACGTTAACAGACACCGAGGCAGGCCCAGAAGGAGATGACGGGACGAACTTGATAACTTCGACGAGGATAGGCCGCAGAAAGCTTTGTGCAGAGAAGAGTGAAAGATGGGTGGGTCGGCCTTTGCCCTGCAGTGGGACGATAACAGCTGATAAAAAAAGTGAAATCTAGTGCTTCCATCTTTAAGTCTTCGGACAGTGAGCAAGGGTAGCTTGTTGTCCAAGCAGAACCAGACCCAAGCGTATTGGGTGTAGCATAACGCGCCTCAAAGAGCCAACAGCCAACCACAAATGGAGTCCCAAAGAAGCTGATGGTCATTCGGGGATGCATATCAAGCGCTAAAATGTATCGCAGCCTCAGTTGGAGATGAAAAAGGAATGGGGTGATTTTACTGCCAGGACCTTTTCCCTCCCTCAAAGTAAAAAGTTCTTTCATTTCCCATGAGTTATGTGGAGTCGTTCATTAAAAAAAGCTACTGACAATAACCAACCAACAAAACAAGGTATTTTCAAAATTGATTCAGGTGTTGTGTCTTTGCATTTCACTTTCATATGTCTAGTTTTAATGGGTTTTGCATCTTACAACTACATCACACATACATGTGTACGGAACCGTACATTATTTTAACTACTCACGCCCGTGCGTTCTGCACACTCAGGTTTTGTGTATATTGCAAACAATGCAAAATGTAATTTGTGTCTTTTATAACGAATTATAAATCAATGTTAATCTAGCATTCAAATCGGGTGGTATTATTTCTATATCCTTATAGGATTAACCCCTCATCATATCGTATCATCAAAGGTGTAGGAATCTTCTACATTTTTTTTGGTCCTTCGAGCCGGATCGTGGCGGGACCTTCGCGGTTACTTTGACCTCGCGCGCGCATTCGTGTCTCGTGTACGTCAACGTGACGTGGACTTAAGTTCCGTGCGATCACCAGTGTAATCTACACACATCATCGACTTGAGCATCGCTAGCTTAAGCCATCTCGGTCGTGTTCATTGAATCGCGATACTTCATCATCTTCATCTCATCTGTGGCGCGAGAGGTCGCGCACGCTGTCAGCTTCGTTGGAATCACCAGCAGGGGCGTAGGACGTCACTACTGTAACGTCGCATCTGGATCATCATTTATCAAGTAAGACTGTTCCTTTATTTTTCAACATGGAATCTCGTATAGCCCGTCAATCTGAAATCATCTCCAGTATCACTACCATAAAGGTCAACTTTAATAAGGACTCTGATTCCCGCAAAAATGCCGAATACATCAAAAAACGGTTAGGCGCGCTAGACGCTCTCTGGGAAGAGTTCGAACAAAATCATTCTAGAATTTCCGATCATGCCAGTGAGGCAGATGAATATTTCCGTCTAAATACCTATCAGGTAGGCAAAGACCTTTATCAGTCTGTCCGCATCCTCTTATCATCTTACGGAAAATCATCAAAATCAACTCAACCAGATGGGGAGGTTGATGAATTGTTAGCAATGCAGCGGACTAATTTCAGGGCACTTAGTCGACTTATTAAGAGCATCAAGGTTGAAAATATATCGGATAAATGGGAACTCGAAGACGAGCTAAACGGCGTTCAGTCTATTTGGAAAATTATCGACGCTCAGCATTTGAAAATCGATCATATACTTGCGGGTGGAGATATATCGTATGACGAGGAATTCACTCGTCATGAGTTAGCTTACAAAAATATCAAACGCGAGCTAAATAGGAAAATCTCCTCTACGACTCATTTAGAAAAGGTCACTCCGAAACTTGAGATACCTACGTTCAGCGGAAATTATAGTCAATGGCCAACCTTTTATGATTTGTTTAGCGAGACAATTCATAACAATAATTCCATCACCAAGGCCCAAAAGATGCAACATCTTAAGGGTAAGCTCAAGGGCGAAGCTGAACGACTCATCTATCATTTAAATGTCTCATCGGAAAACTACGATACCGCATGGGAGATTTTAGTCCATCGATACAACAACGAGCAAGCTCTTTTCACTCATCAAATCGAAATATTTCTCAATCAGCCCAACATTCAAAAACAATCATCATCCGAAATCAAAAGGTTATATGACACTACTACGGAGTGCATTCATGCTATTCACAATCTTGGCGTCAATACTAATGCGTGGGATCCTTTATTGGTGCACCTTCTATGTAAAAAACTGGATACGGATACCCAGACTGATTACAGAGAAGCACGCGTCGAACCGCGAAAATTACCTAAGTTAGACGAGTTAATGACATTCCTTGAAGGTAAATTTACTGCGTTGGAACAGATAACCAAATATGATAAGGAACCCGCTACATCTATCAAACGAACCCCAAATCCAAAAGTGCAAAATAATTATTACAAATATAATAATTATAAAGGCTTTAATCATCGAAATTATCAAGCTCAAGCTATTCATATCTCGAAATGCGCAGTTTGCAACCTAAATCATAATCGCAATTTGTTTTCATGCAAAAAATTTATTAACATGACTCCGGATTTACAAATGAGAATAGTTACACAATCAAATATTTGTAAAAATTGCCTATTCTCTCACGACGGAAATGAATGTACTTCCACCAAACGTTGCAAGTCTTGCCAAGGCAATCATCATACCATACTCCATGAAGCGTGTATGCAATCATCAAAACATCAATCCTCATCATCATCGTCTACATCGGGTCCGTCCGCAAAAACACCCAACAAACAGCCTAATGCCAATCATGTCGCAGTAGACGATGAAGAATTACTATTAACCACGTTATCGATCAATGTAAGGTGTTCTGACGGTACCTATATAACCCTAAGGGCTCTCCTGGACCAGGGGTCTCAAATATCACTTATATCGGAGAACGCTGTGCAACGACTAGGCTTACAGAGGCGACGTTACAATGCGTCCGTGTCCGGTATAGGTTCAGGTGCTAGTCAAAGTAAGGGTTTAGTATCTATCGACTGTCAATCTATCTACGGCGATTATAATTTCACTACAGAAGCACTCGTAATCTCTCGGGTTGCCAGTAACTTGCCTAGCGTTCAGTTCAAAAAACAATCATGGCCTCATCTCCAGCATCTGCAATTAGCTGATCCAGAGTACAATGTTTCCAAGCCTATCGATCTTCTCTTGGATGTCAGCATTTATTCACAGATCATCATGGACGGTCTTATCAAAGGTCCATCTCAAGCTCCAATTGCGCAGCAGACTGCCCTCGGATGGATTTTATCGGGAAACGTTCGTACTTTTAATTGTCATATCGTGACAAACAATATATCGGATCTTTCAAAATACTGGGAGATTGAAGACGTTGAACCATCATCATCATCATCATTGACTAGTGAAGAGCAGTATTGTGAAGAGTTTTATCAACAAACTACTCGTCGCTTAGATACTGGCAGATACGAAGTTGGCATTCCCATGAAACCCGAATACGAAAATCAACTTGGATCGTCTAAATCAAAAGCGATTGCACAATTCAAACAGTTGGAAAGAAAAATGTGCAATAATTTATTATTCTCGGAAAGTTATAAATCATTTATGTCCGAATATCAACAACTGGGTCACATGTGTAAGGCCGATAATGTCGACGAATCAAAACCAGCCTTCTATTTACCTCATCATGGCGTCATCAAATTAGATTCCACAACGACTAAACTTCGAGTCGTTTTCAATGCTTCTTCAAAATCATCTTCCGGTAAAAGTCTGAATGACCTCATGTGCTGTGGACCAAATCTCCAAAAAGATCTCATGACACTTATTTTGAACTGGCGCACTTACAAGTACGTTATGACAGCTGATATCGAGAAAATGTTTCGACAGCTCTTCATCAGACAATCAGATCATCATCTTCAATCAATCGTTTGGAGACAATCACCTCAAGAGTTACTAGGAGAATATCGTTTAACTACAGTGACTTACGGCACTAAAGCCGCTCCTTATTTAGCTATGAGGACTCTTAAACAGTTATCAATCGACGATGCCGATAGATACCCATTAGCAGCGTCAACATTACGCCAATCTTTTTATATGGATGACCTTCTTGGAGGCACAAATACCATCAATCAAGCCAGGGAGCTACAACATCAACTCATTGAGATGTTGAAGGGTGCTGGCATGAATCTGCGCAAGTGGTCCAGTAATGACCCGGAGCTACTTAAAGATCTTTCCTCAGATCAGCTCAATAGCCCATTCGACTTTAAGTGCTCAGAATCGAAGAAAACGCTTGGACTCAGATGGAATCCATCAACGGATACCTTTAGCTTCCAAAATCCGGTCCAGTGTCGTAATCAATGCGTCACGAAGAGGCAGTTGCTATCTGAAATATCGAAACTTTTTGACCCATTGGGTTGGCTGTCTCCACTATCAATAAGAGCGAAACTTCTATTCCAAAACGCATGGTCATTAAAATTATCTTGGGATGAAAATGTTCCACAATCAATTCAAGATGATTGGATTCATCTCAGGAGTGATCTCAATCTCATTGACCAATTCATTATACCGCGATACATTGGTAATACAAACCAATTGTATCAAATACATGCATTTTGTGACGCTTCCGATAAGGCATATGCTTGTGCAGTATATGTCGTAAGTAAAGATCATAAGGGCGAGTGCATATCGAGACTCGCTGTCGCAAAAACAAAATTAGCGCCTCTGGCTAAAAAGGTGTCACTGCCAAGGCTCGAACTCTGTGGTGCGCTACTTCTTGCTCAACTTATCAAGAAGGTTATGGAGTCATTATCAAATGAAAACGTGGAAATTTATGCCTGGACTGACTCCATGATAGTCCTAGGATGGATCCAAGGAGACGTCCATAGGTGGAAACAATTCGTGGCTAATAGAATTATCACAATCACCAATATCGTTCCATC